CGAGGCATGTAGGCACATGCCCTGACCGGAAACGGGACTGGTGACCTTTCCTTCTGTGGAATGACACCCAACCAACTGAGCTACACTTGTCAGAGCTAGACTGCCTTTTTTAAAAAAAATTCTCTCTCCTGATTCATCTTCATTTTGCTGCTTCCTAGCTGTGGTAGGAATATGCAACCTTGTGCTAAATTTGGTAGAAGTGCTATAAAAGTACAGTGTTGATTTATATGTTGTTCTCAGATTTTGTCTAAGAACGAAGGAGAGAATCTGTACCTCAAAAGAAGAATTGCATATCAAAAGAGTTTTCTGCTGTGGAATCAGTGGTCTCTGCAAATCAGTGATTTTGGCTTTTGTCCAACTTTTCAAATCTTAAGAGGATTTTAGATAAATGATATGGAAATGATTTAGATAAATGATTTGGATAAATGATTTAGATAAATGAATGGAAATATTCATTCCATTTTACATATTTTACATATTTACATATTACAATTCATATTTTACATATGAATTGTGGCTGTAGAGCAACAATCAGCCTCTCCATAATACTGTCCCAGTGCAGCTCTGCACGGAGCAGAGGCCGGTGGAGGGGAGCTGAGGGGTCGTGCAGCGCCCTCCTGCTCGGCCTCCGCCGTCAGGATTCCAGATGAGTCAAGACAAGCACTGGCTTGGGAGTAAGGAAACACCACTTCTGCCAACCTCCTTAAGACGGCTCCTATTTTGGCCTACTCTGTGCTCCCTTGATTCTTGGGGAATATATTTGAGAAGGGGGAGAGGGGAAGAAAACCTTAGCCAAACCTGAGAGAGAGGACAGAAACAGTGAGCATAGATAGCAGTTGCTGGAAGTCTGTTGCCGCAGATGATGCAATCTGCCGTCCCCATCCGTGGATCTCGCGTGCCGTCCCGCAGTTGGCATCCCTGCTGCCAGGAACCACCCCCTCCCGTTTCCCTCCGAAAGCAGGGAGAGAGGTTTTCCGGCAGTGTTAACTCTTCTGCCTTCAAGCCTCGGGTTTTTTCTCCCCACATCAGATGTGTTTATCTAGGTCATGTTAGGACCCACAGAGATGTTAAAATCAAAGAATCTTAGACATTGGGCGGGAGTGGGGGGGGTGGGGGGGTGGCGAGAAAATTTTTCAAAGGAAAGCAGCACTTAATTTTTCTAGATTAGACCACATGTGACAGTGGGTGGAGGTCATTTGTTTTCTGAAGAATAATCATCTCTAAGGAAACCTGCTTTTACCTACAGCCGGGATTTAAATACTCCTGACACATCGACAATGAAAGGTGGAGGTGGAATAGGGCCATAGACGCTTGCTGAGTTAGACTACCAGGAAAAAACAAACAAAGGAGAACTTTCTAAGTTATATAAATGTTAAACTCTGCACTGTGCACCTGAAACTAATATAATATGGAACGCTAACTGTAATTTAATATATATGGGGATATATATTTTCATGTATATGTATATACATGGGAATTAAAAATAGTCTAGCATTCTTCAGAAGATGATAGAGACATTTTAGGAGGTATATTGATTAGTTATGGTAATGGTTTCATGAATAGAGTACAACTATTTATTAAATTCTTTAAGAAGTCATTTGAAGTCACATGTAATGTCTTTCCTGTCTCATTTAATGTGCTTTTGTGGAAATGGGAGAAGAGCCCAATCCAGGGGACAGCGTGAAGTTCAAAAATGTTCGACTTAACTACTGTCAAGTGCATAAGGGGAGTTGCTGTCCGACTGCAGAGACTGGGGACAGCTTTGCTCAGTCTGAAGAACTACAAGTTAATCACTTTTAGTAAATCAGTTAATTTATATATCAGTGCTTGGCACATCACAAGCCACCATGTGTTAGTTGCTACTATGACTAGTATTATTACAGCTTTCAGGGTAGAGCTTATTTAGAATGTCTTTAATCAGAATTCCTATATCAATGTTTATGCAAAAAGCTCCTATTCTTCAGCTTAGCAAATAGAAAATGGAATTTTCCTTCGAGGAGCCTAACTCTCAGAAACAGCCCTGCGCCGGTTGGAAAGCCGCCTGCTCCCCTGCTGGATGAGGCCGGGCTGGAGGTGCGCTTTCCTTCCAGAGCCCAGGGAGGGGCCGCGCTGTCCGCGTTACTCGGAGCAACGGCTGGTTTTCGGTGAAGTGAAATTCAAGTGTTATAATGAAATTGGATGTGCTTGTTTTAGATTTGTGACCTGAAGGCTTCAGCTTCTTTAGGGAGCCCTCTGGTGATCAGGGACAGAAAAGGTGACCCCAGGCACCAGGAAAGGAACTGTCCCAGGGTATTCTTTCCCCCTGCAAACCCTCCTCCCACCCCCACATATGTTCGGTTCATATATTTTCAAAATTGAACTCAAATCTATGTGTGACAACTTTGCTGCCCCCCGCCCCCCGCCCATACACACACACACTGCTCGCTGAGCGCCCTCTTACCTAAATCCTTCTAAGACCGCGGGGCCAATCCCACATAGTTTCATGCCACTAACAATTTTTTGATAGTGCATGAAAAAGGTTCAGAACAATGCCTGAATCATTATTGACTACAATTTGTGCTTTACATGTTTTGCATCAGTCACAAAATACGTTATTTTCCCCATTTTCCCAGTGAGTTAATGGAGGCACAGAGGAGCTAAGCAAAGGGACAAACACGAACCCCGACTGCCTGGCCCTTGAGCTGGGAGTCACAATCCCCTTTGGTGCCTAGCTTCTTCCTCAGATAGTCTGTCCTCTCCAATAGATGAGAAGCTCTTCAGAGCACCTTCTCTCAAACTTGCTTAATGTGTGTTGTCGAACAAAAAGAGTCTGGAGGCTTTGGCTAGGAATGAATGATAAAGATTTACCAAAGCAGGGTTTGCAAACTGGGAGCGCAGCAAGGCAAACCCCAATAAGTGTTCCAAGGAAAAAGTGCTTTCCTTGAGATTAATCAGTCCTACATTCTGAGCCCTAGGATTGGTCCAGGATGGTTATCAGCCAGATGGTTATCAGTCTGGATGATGGATGCCAGGTGGCCTAGATGCGTGAGTCCTTCAGGGGACAATTAGAAGGTAATCTGGATATATATATCTCCTCCAGACTTTGACACAGGACTGTACAGTTTTTAAAAGTTTAGCTTTCCAGGCCAGTTAGGACAAGAATGGAGTAAACCTTCATAATGTTAATAATATTAGCATCTCCGATAAATATTCATTCCATTTTACATATTCGATATCTTCCCTCTGTCCTCAGAATGCATTCCTCTAAAGCCCTCACATTCAAGAGTTGCCTAAGGACTAGCACCCCTGTCCCCGGGGCCCTCGGTGGCGTTCTCCTGACTGGACTGCTGCTGCGGTGGGTTGCACACTGAGCCGAGGCTCTTCCCAGCAAATTCTCTCCTGGGCCAGCAGCAGTTCTCGCCATCGTGTTAAGACTCCCAGCCTCCGACCTTTCCTAATGTTGGCAAATAGTTTCCAGCTGCACAAGCAGCAGCCTCATTGCTTTGCAGCCAGGGCCAGGGAAAACTGTTTTTCAAGAACAAGCAGGAACAAGTTGGCATTGGCAGAGTCGCCCGGCAAATCCAAGTCTTATACTTTGTCCTAGATCCTCCTTGTCTCTTTGCCACACACGCAGTCTCCGTGCTGCCCCGGCCCCGAAGCCTCCCCCCCCCCCCACCCCCGTCCCCGGCAACCTGGCTCCCTGATAAAAACAAGCCCAGCCCTCTGCCTTTTGTCCCTTCTTCCTAAGGCTGCTGGTAATTACTAATCTGATAAACAAAGGTTTTTTAGAATCCCTCCTCGTGCCATATTTGCATTTTAAAAGGAGATAATTCCATAACTGTTCTGAGAGAAGACAAGTTCAAGGAGAAGGTTATTAAATGACAAACATGCGGAAAGTAGGGCATGGGCGTAGGAAGGACTCCAGGCCTGGGTCCTGCCTTAGGTTCAAATCCTGACTCCACCCTCACAGGCTGTGTGGCCCGGCACTTCTCCAGCCCGTTCCTTTCTGTAAAGCAGCACAGCACCTGCCACAGTAAGTGTTAGCACCCAAGCCGGTTGTGGCCAGTTGTAAGTTTTCCTTTCAAGTCTCCCCCTCCCAGGACTTCCTTCATGACCCCTTGTAAGGCCGACTGTACTCATCTGTCCGTTGTTGAATTAAGAGTGTAATTGTTTCTGTATCTGGTTTAGTTGTAAAGTGTTCACACATTGGGGAAGTTAGAAACATTTACTTATTTTTGTGAAATATATCATACATAAAGGAAAGGTCATGAAACACATATGTACCAGGTAGCAAATAGTTATAAAGGTGTCATGCACGTAACTACTACCCAGATCAAGAAAGACAAGCACAGTACGACATTGAAGTGAGGCACAGATATATAAAGCAGTGTTCTCAACCGGGGGGCCGGGGGGGACCCAAGGGGTCATTTAACATCTTGGTCTGTGGCATCTGGGGAGGTGCTACTGGCATCTAGCCGAAGAGGCCAGGAATGCTGATAAACACAAGGTGCCCCTGCCCCCAGCGAAGAATTACCGAGACCCCAAATGTCAGTGGTGCCCAGGCTGAGAAACCCTACTGCTAATATAATCTATCTAGCTGTTATTTATTGCCTGATGCTTAGAAACGTGGGAGGTGATCTTTCAGGAAAAGACTCAGATGCTCCAGAAACCTGTTAGCATCAAAACTTAGATTTAAGTAATACATAATTCCTAATAATGATATTTCACTCCACTAGTTGGTCTCCAGGAAAAAAAAAATGCTAGCCAGAATTTCATATGAAGGATCTGAAGTTAATAGACCTTCTAATAGCATCAACCAGTTTGTCTTCTTTCACTCCTGCCAAATGCCCTACTGCCTGTCGATCTGCACCAGTCTTGGGAATCAAATCCTGTACAAGTTAGTTGAAGCCAGACGTGTTCAATTTTACTATTAATTAAATCATGAATAAATACTGTACTCTTTCCAACAATGTGTCCCAGCTGCTGTGCAATTGTAACTCATTGCCTTTCATTTATTTCAGGACTTAGTTGTTCGTATCATTTTCATTCTTGGCAACCTGACAGCGAAAAATAACCAGGCTCGTGAACAGTTTTTCAAAGAGGACGGGAGCATCCCAACTCTGCTGTCCTTATTCCGTACGTTCTACAAACTGGATCTGCACCCCAAGAGACGAGCTGGTGAAGGAGATGAGCAGCCCAAGGAACAGAAGCTGCAGCCTCAGGTGGAGGACGTGCTCATCAAGCTGACCCGCGTGCTCGCCAACCTGGCCATTCACCCGGGCATCGGGCCGGCCATGGCTGCCAATCCGCACGTGGTGGGCCTGCTCCTCACCACGTTGGGTAAGACCCTCGGCCCGCCAGGCTGCAGTAGACACGGGCAGCAGCTGTGCCCCGCAGCCCGAGACAGCTCTGAGTCTTGGGTGTGCTGAGGGATTTATTAGTGTGATCGGCTCACTTTAATGAGACTTCTCAGCGCTGTGAAAGAAAATTCCTCTTCTGTACAGAACTGCCTCAAAAGTAATCCAGATTTTTAAAAAATATAAAAATGGTAATACATATTATTTCTAAAACTGATTGAATTGTATATACTACACTTTAGAGGGTGAATTTTATGGTATGTGAATTACATCGCAATATTTTTTAAATATAGTGATCAAATTACAAAAAATTGGCCAGTATAACCACAAAGAGTTTAAAATCCCAAATTTTTCCATGGTTAGTCCACATGATTAAAGTGTATTTATCTTTTTATTTTTCAGGTTGTTACATTATCTGTAAGCACAGTCCCCAGTCATTCAGGTCTTATCTGTTCCCCTGTATTAGCTTAAGCTGCCATAACAAAATACCACAGACTGGTTGGCTTGAAAAACAGAAATTTATTTCTCAGAGTTCTGGAGGCTGAGAGTCCAAGGCCAGGTGTGGCCTATTTGGTTAGAGTGAGAGCTCCCTTCCTGGCTTGCAGATGACTGTGTGTTTGCGTGGCCTTTCTTCGACATGTGCACGTGGGGAGAGAGAATGGCCTCTTTTTAAAACTCCACCAGTCCTATCTGATAAGGTCTCTGTCCTTATGACCTCATTTAATTTTCATTGCCTCCTAAAACCCCTGTCTCCAAATGCTATCCCATTGGAGCTTAGGGCTTTAATATATGAGTTGGGGGAAGTAGACACAATTTAGTAAGTTAAGTACACTCTCCCTAGTGCTCCAAAATTCATGTCCTTTTCATGTGCAAGAGACATTCATTCCTTCTCAAGGGCCTCCAAAATCTTTTTTTTTTTTCCTTTTTTATCTGAAAAGCACGTATCTGCCCTTCCATTCTAAATGATAGCTTTGCTGGATAGAGTCATCTTGGATGTGGGTCCTCGGTGTTCATGACTTGGAATACTTCTTGCCAGCCCCTTCTTGCCTGTAAGGTTTCTTTTGAGAAATAAGCTGATAGTCTTATGGGAACTCCTTTGTAGGTAACAAAGGTTCTCCTTTTCTCTTGCTGCTTTTAAGATTCTCTCCTTATCTTTTATCTTGGGTAACTTAATTATGATGTGCCTTGGTGTGTGCTTCCTTGGGTCCAACTTCTTTGGGAGTCTCTGAGCTTCCTGGACTTACTGGAGGTATATTTCCTTGGCCAGATTGGGGAAGGTCTCTTTAATTATTTGTTAAAATAAGTTTTCAATTTCTTGCTCTTCCTTTTCTCCTTCTGGCACCCCTATAATTCGGATGTTGGACAGTTTAAAGTTGTCCCAGAAGTTTCTAAGCCTCTCCTCATTTTTTTGAATTCTTGTTTCTTGATTCTGCTCTGGTTGAATGTTTATCTCTTCCTTCTACACTCAATCATTAATTTGAGTCCCAGTTTCCTTCCCTTTTCTGTTGGTTCCCTGTATATTTTTCTTTGTTTCACTTTGCATAGCCTTCGTTTTTTCCTCCAGTTTACGACCATGCTCAACCAATTCAGTGAGCATACAGATTACCAGTGTTTTGCATTGTGCATCTGATAGGCTATCTGTTTATTTCTTAGTTCTGTTTTTGGAGCTTTGATCTGTTCTTTCATTTGGGCCATATTTCTTTGTCTCAGTGCTCCTGTTATGTTGGAAGGGGCAGAGCCTTATGTATTCACCAGGGCAGGGCAATCCAGGTTGCTGGGTTGTGATGCTGTGTGTGGGGGAGGGGTCCAAGAGGGAACAATGCTGCTTGCTTGGCTCTCTGCTGGCTTTCAGTCACTTCCCCCTCCATCCACAAACAAATTGGGCCCTCTAGTGCTGATTCCTGGGTGGGTGGGCTTGTGTATGTTCTATAACCCTGAGGGTTTCTCCAACGGACTCTCCTGTGAGGCTGGGAGTTTCTTCTGCTGCTGAAACCCCCACAGGTTTTTATCTCCAGAGGTTTAACGCTTTCTTTTCTCACACTGGAAACCTGGATTGTGGGGCCTGTCTTGCTTCCCAGCTGTTCCTCCTGGTTTATCCAGATACAAATGTGAGACCGCCTGGTCTGCCAGCTGCCAGCTTGCCACGTGTCCTCTCTGCCCCGGCTGCCCATCTCCGCCCCTCCTATGGTATGAATGTTTCTTCTTTAGCTCCTTGGTTGTCAGACTTCCATACAGTTCAATTTTTTGGCAGTTTTGGTTATTTTTTGTTTTTAAGTTTGCTGTTTTTTTTCTTTTGGTTGTGCGAGAGGCAATGTGTATCTACCTACACCTTCATCTTGACTGGAAGTCTTTTGGTTTTTACTAAATGTAGGCAAGGTGGGGGGAACAGGGTGGTCCCTGGCTTCTGATGCTGGTGGGGTAACTGCTGACATGGCTTGTCCTCATCCCTCTTCTCCAGATAATGATATCTTTTTTGGTCTTCCTGGGCCTGTCATGGTCTCAAAACTTCAATACAAATTTATTATTACTATTATTATTTTTAAATTTATAAATCATGTTTATTCTATTACAGTTGTCTCAATTTTTACCCCTTTATCCCCCTACACCCATCCCACCCCCACCCCCTGCTCCCACAGTCAATTCCCACTCTGTTGTCCATGTCCATGGGTCATTCATACATGTTCTTTGTCTAGTTCCTTCCCCTTCTTTCCACCATTGTCCTCTTTCCCCATCCCCTATGGTCACTTTCAGTCTGCTCCATGTTTCTGTGCCTGTGGTTTATTTTGCTTGTTAGTTTATTTTGTTGAATAGAGTCCACCTATAGGTGAGATCATATGGTATTTGTCTTTCATCAACTGGCTTATTTCACTTAGCTTAATATTCTCCAGTTCCATCCATGTTGTTGCAAAAGGTAGGAGTTCCTTCTTTCATTCTTTCTTTTTTTTTTAAATGCAGATTGATTTTATTTATTTTTTTAGATGTCAAAGTTAATTATAAAATATTTTTAAAAAGTAAAACCATTATAAAGTCTCAGCAATTAAACCAACATGACACCAGCACAGAAATAATCAAGTAAATCAATGAAATACAGTGAACATTCTAGAGACAAGCGTATATATCTAACAATGTAATATATGATTAAGTTGATATTTCAAACCAATGGGTAAAATAAGGCTTATTCAACAAATAAGGTGCATGGACCATTATTACTTGAAATAAAACACATACAGAGCCCTATTTCACACATTATAAAAGAAATATTCAGGTGAGTTAAAAATCAATATGTAGAACCTAAGTTTTAGAAGAAAATAGAACTAATATTTTTCATGACCTGAAGTAAAATATTCAAACCCAGAAGTTATAAAGTAGATATTGACAATATGACTATATTAAATATTTAACTATATAGTAATATACATATAAAAAAGTTAAAGGACAAGGAATAGAATAGAAAAGTATTTGTAACACATCTAAAACATGGTTAATAGGTTTGTTATTTTTTTTAATGGAAAAAAGTTCCAAACTTTAACTTTTTTAAAAGTTAAAAAACCTTAAATCAATAAATGCATAAAGAATACCAAAAAGTCATTTAAAGCTTTTTTTAAAAAAATAGAAATAAGCAAGAAATATACTAAAACAAGTTTAGTTTAAACAAATAGTAAAGGAACAATTAAAATAACATCATTGTCACAATCAGATTAATGAGTATTAAAAATATTGGAAATATCAAGTATTGGCAACTATGAAAGGAACTGGGTATTCATAGAAACTTTTTCTTCATCTTAAAGCAGTCCCTTTAGCATATTTTGCAGTGCTGGTTTGGTGGAAGTGTAGTCTTTTAGCCTTCTTTTGTGTGGGAAACTCCTTATTTTGCCTCCCATTTTAATTGAGAGCCTTGCTGGGTAGAGCAGTCTTGGTTGCAGACCTTTGCTTTTCATTACTTCGAATATTTCTTGCCAATCCCTTCTGGCTTGCAGAGTTTCTGTTGAGAAGGCAGCTGCTAGCTGTATTGGGGCTCCCTTATATGTTACTACCTCTTTCTCCCTTGCTTGCTTTAGGATTTTCTCTTTGTCTTTGATATTTGCTATTTTAATGATCGTGTGTCTTGCAGTGGGCCTCATTGGGTTCCTCTTGAATGGGACCCTCTGTGCTTCCTGGACTTGCGTGACTTTTTCTCTCCTCCAATTGGGGAAGTTTTCCATCATTACTTTTTCAAACAGGTTCTCTATCCCTTCCTCATCCTCTTCTCCTTCTGGTATCCCTATTATATGGATATTATTATGTTTCAGGTTGTCCTGCATTTCCCTAAATGCCCCTTCATTCTCTTTGAGTCTTTTTTCATTTTCTTGCTCTTTCTGGGAGCTTTTTTCTACCTTATCCTCTAGCTCGCTGATTCGGTCCTCAGCTTCATCTAGCCTGCTTTTGATTCCTTCTACTGTGTTCTTCAATTCAGAAATTGTATTCTTCATTTCCTCTTGTGTCTTATTGATAGTTTCTATGTCCCTTTTCATGCTGATATAGTTTGCAGTAAGTTCCTCGTAGTTTCTCTGTAGTCTTTTTGTAATTCTCTCTAAGCTCACTGAGCTCGTTGAGCTTCCTTAGAACCATTGTTTTGAACTCAATATCTGATAGTTGACTTGCCTCTATTTCATTTAGTTCTCTTTCTGGGGATTGCTCCTTTCCCTTCGAGTGGAGCGTATTTGTTTGTCTTCCCATTATTTGAGACTCTTCTTTTTTGCTTCTGATTCTTAGGTTGATCTCTCTTGATCTCCTGACTTTGTGGTATCAACTTCTTTGGTTGGAGACCACTTTTTTTCTTTCTGGATCTGCTTCTGATAATGCCAGATGTTGATGCTGTCTAACCTTAGGCAGTCTGTTCAAGACTTCCAGTAATCTACTGTTTGGCCTCCAAAGTCTTAACTCATTGCATCATCAACTCTAAAGCCCAAGATCAGTAATCTCATTTAAATATCATTTAATCAGCTATTGTGTGACTTGAGGTATGATTTATCCTGCAAAAAACATTCCTCTCCTGCTGTAGAGCTGTAAAGCCAGGCAAGCTACGTGCCTCCAACACACAATGATGGGAGAGGCACAGGACAGACATTCTCAGACATTCTCAGACGTTCTCATTCCAAAAGGGAGAAATAGGAAAAAAGGGATGGTTGTCAGACCCCAAGCAAGCCCAAAACCTCACAAGGAATTCCATCAGCTCTTAAAATCTATGCTGGTCCTTCAGCCAGTGCTCCCTTCATGCACAGAGGCTAGCATGGGGGGCAGTACATGGTAGACACTACATGAATACTCGCAGAAAGAAAGAATAAATGAGTATATGTTTTCTGTGGCATATGAATGACTGGATTTTCCTTTGTAAGAGAGTAAGCTTTTAAAAGGCCATTCCCTTTAATGAAACAAAGGCCAAAAGGAGAAGTAATGAAATCAGAGAGCGTAAGAGCTAGCATGGTCCTCCTCCTCAGCTCACAGCCACTCTCTTACTCCATGAGAAAGTTTCGTTTCACATAAGAGGTAACAGGCACTTCTTAACCTTAATTCAGAGAATGTTACCACTGTTTGTCCATTTATGTAACCTAGAGACCCAGGAATCGTGTTGGGTGATTCCTCTCTCTTACCCCTCAATCTAGTCTTCATCACATGCTGTCCATTTTCCTCCCTAAATAATTTTTCAGTCTGTCCATCTGCTCCATCTCCATCATCACCCAAGTCTAAGCTGCATTATTTGTCACCTGAATACCACAGGAGGCTTCTCCCTGGCATCCTTGCATCTGCCCTTCTCTGCACTATGGCCAGATAAGTCTGGAGGTTGAGTGGAAGGCAGGGACAGAATTACTGAGGTGTGTAAGTTAAGTGTTCCTCCCTCCCTCCCTCCCTCCCTCCCTCTTTCCTTCCTCCACTCATTTACTCACTTATTCTTGCAGTCAGCAATCATTTTTTGAGCACCTTACATGTACCAGATGCTGCTCAAGGTGCTGGGAATGTAGAAATGAGTAAAACAGACAAATCACTAGTCCTGTGGAACTTAATGTTTTTAGGGCCAGAAGACATACATTAAACATACAAGTCAAGTGGTCACACTTTCTATGGAGAAAATTAAACTGGAGTAAGGGGAAGAGAGAATAATGGGAGCCATTTTTCATAGGGTGATTAAGGAAAGAATGTCCCTTAAGATGACATCTGAGCAACCACCTGAAGCATGTGAGGAGTGAGCCAAGTAGATAACTGGGAAAAGAATATATTCCAGACAGAGGGATTAGCAGGAAAAACATTCCCAGGAAGGATCATGCTGACAAGTTCATAAAGAGTAAAAAGAGCAGTGTGGCTGGCCTTGGGGGCCTGAGGGTCGGAGCACCAAATCAGAGCAGACAGGTCAGGACTGGGGCAGCCCCGGGGAGGGCCGGAGGGCCAACTGAGGCCAGTGACATTATCTGACTAACTTATAAAGGATCACCATGCTGAGGATAGACTCAGGAAGGAAAAGGTGGATGAAGAGAAACCAATGAGAGATGGGCTAGATGGTAGTAGAGTAGGTGAGAAGTGACCAGGTGCTGTGTGTTTAGGGTCAGGGGAAACTAAAGGGGATTAGAGATGCCGGGGCTCACTGGTGTGTTTGGCATTTTTGCTTTACTGCAGACACAGGGCCTGGATAGGCCCAACTTTTCCAGGCCCCCTGGTTGTGAGAATGGAGCTTGGAGTGTTCTGATACCTGAGCAGGAGTGATCCCCTGCATTTGGTGCATTTCCCTGCAGGAAGAGTCAGGGAAATAAAGCGGCACACAGCAAGTCCAGGATGCCCTTGCCCGGACCTTGCCTAGGACAGTGGCTTGTCCCTGCTGCAGCTGGAGTCATTGCTGGAATTAGGATGGCATTGTTTCTAGCCATGCTATGAGACTGTGACACCCTTCCTTTGTTTCAGAATACAAGTCAATTGATGATTGTGAGGAGCTGGTGATCAATACTACAGCAACAATCAACAACTTATCTTACTACCAAGTGAAGAATTCCATAATCCAGAACAAAAAGCTACATATTGCTGAATGTAAGGTTCAGAGTTGGGTTTGGGTGGATGTATGTTCAGTTAAGGTTTTGGTTTTATTAACTAAACATAGTACTAGAAGCATTCATATTTTCTGATTTCCTGGTACAAATATCTAAGAGCCTGGTTTGGTTCTGAAACATTAGAATATGGGGAAAGTTTAGCTTCTTAGTTCTTGCTAAAGTCCCCTGAAATTTATATTTTATTCTCACTTTTAATTTTTGAATTATCAGTATTTATTATGATTATTGAGTTATGATATTGGTTTCTAATAGCTTTAAAATCAAAGCTTAAATTCACTGATTTTTTTTTCCCCTCTGGTCACCCAACCCAGTGCTTTTAAAGCTTCTTGTGAGTAATAACATGGATGGAATCCTGGAGGCGGTGCGTGTTTTTGGAAATCTCTCCCAGGACCATGACATCTGCGATTTCATTGTGCAGAAGAATGGTGAGTGAATGACACATACGTTCATAAACATGCACTTCTTGCCAATAAACAGCAAAGCAGTCTCGGAGCTTGGGTCATGACAATGTGATACTTGTTTCTGCTTTGGGACGAGTAAGTGCCTTACATTCTGTTCCGTCCGTACGTAAGGCTGTCAGCTCAGGATGCCAAGGCGGACTAGGGAGTGTTCTCTGTGTTCCCGCTCCCTTGGGAGCGGTCTTCTGAGCTCCAGGATGGGGGCGGGGGCAGGGAGAGAGAGAAACAAGTCATCTGTACTCTCATTTCTGTCCATGGGAATGGACTCAAGAGACATTCTCCTTCATGTACTAGAATGTTCATTACTGTACTGCTTATAACAGCAAAAAATGGAAACAAGTTAAATGGCAAGAGGCAAGAGGATAAATACATTATGGTATATTCATACCACTATATGTTCTACAGCAATGAAAATAAGTGAACTAGAGTTCCATGGTTCAACATGATTCAACCTCAAATGCTTATAATCTAGGAGCAAAAATATTCCTCCTAGAGGGATATATACAGAATAATGTCATTAAGGTAAGTTTTAAAATATGCAAAACAATCTTGGGTATTGTCTATGTAATGCACTCATGTAGTAATGGTGTCAGGTATAAATGGTATTTGCAATTGATAAACTCCACACTTAAGGCAAAAGGTACCTTTGGAGGGAGAGGAACGCACAGATATAAAACTGGATATGTAATGTTTTATTTCTTAAGAACTGAGTGGCAGGTACACAAGAGTTTATACTATCCTCTATATGTCTCACATATTTCATGTAAGAACACTAACTAAAAATATGTTGAAGTAAGAAACGTCCAAACCTGTAGAGAAATTTTATGAGTTTATTTGAGTCAGACTGACAACATATCCTGGGGAACAAGAGCTCCAATGCTCCTGAGAATAACAGTTTTGCAGTTTCTCTTATGCATTTGAAATTAAGGAGGGAATGTAAGAAGAATTACATGAGGGTGGGAGAAAGCAAGGTGAGGATTGGGTTACAAGATTCTATGCTTTCTTAGGAATGGCTACCCCTTTGAGGGCTATTACTCCTGACACCTCCAAGGTGTGTTGACCTAGATGCACAAGAACGACCCAGATGGCAGGGCTGGCTTACTCGCCATTCAGTAAAGAAGGTCCAGGCCCGGGGAGTGACTACCCACCAAAATTGTCCCCTCCGTTAGGAATTTATGATTTATTACAGCACCCCTTTTTCATCCACAAATACCTAATTATCCATGTTCACGGTAGAAAATTTAGGGAATACAGAGAGAGAAAAACAAAGCGGCGGCACACCGTCGCCCGTCATCTCCCTACCGCAGAGATAACTCTTCACATTTTGGTGTACATTCTTTAGACTCTTAGAAACACATATATGTGATGCAGCCTTTGCCAAGCTCACTGCCACATCCATCAACGGGGCCAAGGTCAGAATAGGGCGGCTGCCTCTCAGGAAAACGGGAGAAGGCAGAGCACGTGCCTGTCCAGTCCCCCGCAACCATTCGCCCAGCCCCTGCTGGGGATGCGAAAACAAGACAGTTCTATTTCCTAGGAGTAAAGGGAAACTGGTTCTCAAAGGCAAGGAGCCTGTCCCCTCCGAGGTGTCCGCTACCCAGGAGGTCCTGCCTTGCCACAGGCTGGCTTTCAGGATTCTGACCAAGACTTCGGTGGCCCTGGAAGACTTCAGGGAAGATCTCAGCAGGGGCCCTCTCCCAGGGCTGTGTATGTGGAGAAAATTGCTGCTGGAGGTTCAGAAAGGTCCTTGGGATGTTAGAGATGAATGTCACCTGTGTGGCTGGAAGTCCTTGTTTTCCTCCTTCCCACCAGCAGGGACTCCATCGCTGCTGTAGGGAGGGAGCCGCTTTCTGGGTCAGATACAGCTGCATCTGGGGACAGGGACCTAGAGTGTGGGGAGCAGATTCTGGATGTGGTGGGTGCTGGGGAACGGGTTAAATCCGCTAGTCGGGTTTTCCATTTTGCAGGCCACTCCCCATTTCCCCTGTGCCCTTTCCCTTTAAATAAGGGGGCATAAGATACAGCTGAGAACCAGGGCTTTACTGGTCTGCGTTTGCTCTCCGCCCTCCCAGTACACAAGTTCATGATTGCGCTGCTGGATGCTAAGCATCAGGATATTTGCTTTTCTGCCTGTGGCGTTCTTCTAAATCTCACTGTGGATGAAGACAAGCGTGTCATCCTAAAAGAAGGAGGCAGCATTAAAAAGTAAGTTTTAAGGCCTGGTGTTCCTGCTCGCCAGATTCCGAGGACATAGTTTTCCAGGGAGCTTAGGCCCCTCTCATCATTCCTCCAGGTGGAGGTATTCTAACATTTGGTAAGAGCCAAGTTTAGGGCTGAAGAGGGGATTTAGGTTCCACAGGACACTTAAAATAATTCATCAGTAGATTACTGCGACTTTCTAGCTATTTAAATTTGTAGATATGAAAATATTTTTAGATAGTCACTGAATTACACACAATACAAATTAAATATTATAGAAGTATAATCATTATTGTGCTAAAAATAAAAAAGCTGAAGAAATTCTGACCTAATACCTTGCCTACTTGACTTTTATTAACTCAGGTTAGTGGAGTGTTTAAGAGAGTTTGGTCCTACTGATTGGCAGCTGGCCTGTTTGGTTTGCAAAACGTTATGGAACTTCAGTGAAAATATTACTAATGCTTCATCGTGTTTTGGAGATGAAGACACCAACACACTCTTAGTGCTGCTCTCATCATTTCTAGGTAAGACTCTTCACTGTGACTGTGTTATCAGAGTGAGATAAAATTTTTTTTTCTGTGCCCTGTATGGATAGAGATTGGTATGTATTTGGGTGGCCAGATTTCTGTAAGCCTCTATAACAATCTATAAAGATTATTACAGTTTAGAAATATCTGGAAGAGGCTGAATGTTATTTATAATGGGAGCAAAAAGACTTTTAATTCATTGGGCACTGTCATGATTTCTTTTGTGGCTTTTCTTTTTTTGCATTTTTAACAGATTGCACAAATACAGGATGCTGTTGTTTAAAAGTATACAGACATCATTGTAATTGAGAAAATATGACTAAAGGCTACTCTGAATTAAGCCATGCATTTAAGTAAATCTATACCTTTGAATTAGCAGCTGTGCTAATTATCAGCTGAGCTCTCTTGGTCTGCGTGCATTTAGGGCCTGTGAAACTACTTGACATTATTGTGGGGTCCATACCTTTGGGAAATCATTGATATAGACCAAAGGCAAGAGGATAGCTTCTTCCATTTTTAAAATTTCCATTTTTTAGGATAATTGTTCTCCTACTGGGTTAAATCTAGCAACAGTGATTGGGGGTAGTAAATGAGTGTGTTCAAGAATCCTTTTCCCAAAATGGGATGCCTACCATTTCCCAGCCACCATTTTGGAATAGCCAGGGCTTGAGGAAAGGTGCCGTTTGTGCATAAGCTGGGGTTCAGGTGGTATCATTTGATAAGATAATCTCTTAGGACCTGTCTTTCCATCTCTAAAGTGGGGACGTGACCATCCCTGCCGTGCCACAGGGGATCTTCACAAGGGTCAAGGAAACATCCTGAGAGCACAGTGGGAGGACCAAGAGGCTTCAGTCAGTTCTAAGTTTAAGTCCTTGCGTTAGCACTTACAGGTTTTAACCGGTCTCAATTTGTATTTCCTCATCGCAAAGATGGGGATGATGGATATCCTCTCTGCAGACTTGATAGGATGATAAATGAGCTGACGTGTAGAATAGAGCTTGCCATGGTGCCTGACCCACAGCAAGCCCTCAAAACGTGGTTGTGAAAGCTCTTCGTAGATCCCAAGTGTTGTAACAATATGTTATTAAACAGGAACTCAGAAATAGAAGTTTGCTAGGTTGATGTGAAATTTGCTTTTTCCAGATAAATATAATTTTGTGTATGTAAGAGTAAGAAAAAAATGTGTGTGGTTTTTAATCACTGAGGTTCACTGACTCGCCTTAATTCTGTTCTCTGCTGCGGCAGAACATTGGAATCAGCTGCGAATAAAAAAAAAAAAACACACACTTATCTGGGCCCCGCCCCCAGGAATTCTGATTCATGAGCTCTGGGGTGAGGTCATTAATCTGTGTTTTTAAGAAGTTGCAAAGGAGGGTCTATTAACACAGCCAGGATTGAGAAGAACCCATGCCCTGGTTTATGAAGGGGGCTTAGGGAGGGGTGCGCAGGGAAGAAGGAAGCCAGGAAACCAGCATACTGTTCAAAGCCGGCCAGAGAGGACCTGGGAGGTTGTTGTGGATGGAACCAGAGTCCTGGGGCGGCCCCCTCAGTAGCAGGCATCATCTCCTCCCTGCTGGAGACCCAGCTCTGCTCCGTCTGTGCCGTTAGGAAATTGTCCTTTCTCCGCCTTGTTCCCTCTAGGCTCCTGTTCGGTCATTGCTTCAACTAACGCAAGGCTGCTTCTTACTGTACTCAGAGTGTGTGACTAAGTTTCCTATGTTGCTGGCGCATCTTTGTGTCTCCCATCTGGGGAGAAGGTGTGGTTGGGTCCAAGAGTCAGCCAAGAGAGTAACTCTTCTGGGCCGTAGGGCCTTTATGTGTTATGTGGCAGCTGCCTCTACCCACAGGCTATCTGTGGCTTCCTTTGGCACCGAAGCCTGGGACAATCCACCGTAACTAATGAGAGTGGTGGGGCCACAGGGCACAAGGACAGCTTCGAAGGGGATGTCAGCATGGCCAGCTTCTCAGCAGGGGCAGCATGACAAGCAGGCATCGCATGGCAGCGGGCCTACTGCATACTACCCCCCACCCTCAGCCTCCCCTTAAAGGCAGGCTGGGCTTCTGCGTGCGCTTGCCCCATCTCTGCACCTGTAATGTGCATACCCCTGGCCTGCCTAGCCAGCTGCTGTCTGTCCTTGCAGGCCCTTCTCATGGAACTTTTCAATCCCTCCCCCTTCCCCTGCCATCTCATCATAGGAATCTGTACTTATACAGCAATTAATCATGAACTGTGTGACTTCTGTACTATTGCTTTGCATCTTTTATTTCCCTACTCCAGCTGAGCCACTTTAAGAAAAGGATATTGCCTCATGCAAAGTAGGTTCTTGACAGATGCACGTGGACTGACTCACATTAGCGGTGCCTTTATTTTAATAGCGCTGTCTGCTTTTAAAAGCATGTTCACTCTACCCTCATAGGATCTTTCTGAGGATACCAGCTAGGTGGCAGTGAGAAAGTAGGTCTCAGAGGGTTAAGTGACTTTGCCTATAGTCATAGTGTAGCAAAGCCAGGACTTTCCATCAGAAAATAAACTTCTAGCCCTGAGTTTTTCTGTTCCTTTGCATTGTATCCCCTTACCCCACCCCATGAAAGGGGGCTGTGGCATGGATAACAAAAGCAAACACAGTAGGTCCGGGAGCCAAGTCACCAGCACGGTGTCAGGATTTCTCACGTCATCACAGGCCCCTCCTTATGACCGCTGAGGACTGGGCTGCTTCCGAGCTTTGGTCTCTGCAGTGTGGGCCTCAGGCCCTTACTCCTGATGGGTTGTGGCCGTATCTGGCCAGTTGGGCAGCAGCAAGTGAAATGGATATGTGGTTGACAATGTATTTGAATTTCGATTCTATTACAAAGATAGCTAGACATCATGCCATTTTGAAACACAGGATGAGCTGTTAAATAACAAAGTCTCATGTTGAAGTGTGAGCACCATTTTTAGAAATAATGGCAAGACAATTCATGAAGTAATATAAGTTACCCAGCTTTTCTTTGATGGGTGACTGGGAGGAAAATAAAAGCATAAATTTATGGTCTGCAACATGGTTGGGATGTTGGCAGACTCTTTGGAAAGTGGTTTTTAAAAAAAAAAAAAGCTGTCTAAAACTTCCTGATGCATTGCAATCACTTCTAAATTCATTAGCAGTGTGTTTATCTTGAAGTTTTTAAGTGGCGTGCCCTAGCACACTAGTCTACCGTGGGCTTCTCTCAGGGGAGCTGGCGACTGGGGATCAGTGTGTGCAGTTTGTTACTGTGAATGTAAAATACACTAGGTTTTCGTATGTTCACTATAAGGTACCTGGAACTTAGCACCTAGGTTGTGTGACAAGGGGTAGAGCGGGGCCCAGGCTTCAAGTCAGAGGATCGCATGGTCTACCCAATGCCGAGGAGCCAACAGGTGCATCTGCAACACGTGAGGACTGGGCCTTATAAGAGAATAGGTCAATGCTAGATCCTTCCAGTAGCTCCCCGGTGCTGAACAGCAAGCTAGAAAACAGTGCAGTGAGTAGGAGAAGCTTTTATTGATGCTGCAGGACACAAACTATAATGGAGATTGTGTTATAATGATCACCAACACATTCAGTGTTTTGAGTCCTTTAATTCTTTCTAGTAGATTGCCTAAAATGCTAGCCTTTGGAAGTGTCCTGTGCACAAAGAACACTTAGGAATGATTGGTTTTCTAAGTCAGTGCTTTTCATACTATGAGTAGCATCTTTAAAAAATGAAGTAGCAAAGAAAGGAAATATCGGAATATGTAACATGTAGTAAAGATAAGTATTCTATTATAAAACATTCATTTAGTTGTATAGAAATATGTATACAGTTATGATCTAATTTGTATTTCTTAGGTTATAGTCCAAAAAAGCTTAAAAATCATAGATCAAAATTTTTCTTGCATTAATCTCTGCCACTCTTTGCAATACAAGTTCCAAATGTTAATACCTAGTGTAATATGGCATTTAAAAAGTGCATTTGCGGTCATTACTTTGAAGTTTCAGCCTGCTGTTCTCTTACCTGTAGCTCTTAGGCCACTTTTATTATCTTGTCTAATCCAGTTAAGAATTAATAGGGTCCAAGTGTCAATTAACCAATTATAGTCTGAGCCTCAAGAAAAGTAACAGTCTCGATACTAGATTTTTTTTTAATGCACCAAAATAGAGATTTGCTAAAACCACCAACTCCAACCAAAACCCAGGGCAAAGGAGGGGACTGTGAGGTGCAGGTGCAGCCCTCATCCCTAAGCATCTTGAGAAAGAAGTGCATAACACAAGGGCATTAAAGGAAGTTTAGTGTTCAGAAAATCCTGGAAAAAGAGTGAGCCGGAAGAAGGTCTAGAAATCTGAAACCACTGAGTCTCACAGACTCCTCTTGTCCAGAAGTAGCCCAATGGGAAGGGCTTTGAAGGCAGCAAACACTATCAGCCCTGTCCTTCCAAGGGCCTGGTTACTTTTGTGGGTGGGGAGATCCAGGTTTGCTTACCGGGTCTCCCTGGAGCACCTTGCTGGGAGGTGTTTGTCTGCCCAGAACTTATCTCGGAGCTGCATAGCTGTTCCCTTGGTTGTGAGGGGAGGAGGGGAAGGCACAAACTGGGATTCCAGACCGCCTTATCTTACTCTGGGTGGGGATGCCAGCACCACCAGTGCCAAAGCACGCGGTGCACAGAAATATTCAGTGCAGAAGATTTGGTGTAAACAGTAATGAGGCAGTTTATATGTAATAGGATTTTAATTAGCCCTATGAAGAAAGTTTTCAAATTATGTAAGTAGCAGTATTTGTGGTCATGTTAGGACTTAGTGGTTACCACTTTAGAAGCCTGCCTCAGCCGCAGGCCTAGAAAGTGGTGGAGCCAGTCTTCTGACTGGCAGACCACGCACTGCAGTTTCCTCAAGTACTTCCCATGGGACCAACATAAATGAGTAAAAATGCAGAGGCAGGTCAGCGCAGAAAACCTAGTGGCCATTTATTTCCCTACTTGGATAGACATGATTACAGAATTCAGAATGCCTTTGGAATTAGATGCAAATTAAAATTGTAATTTTCCTTTTTTTTTTTTTTTTTTTTAATAAGTGCTTTTCTGCATTCCCCACTCACTTGGGATTCTTACAGTCCTTGGGATCAGAACACAGGGGCAGAGGTATTTTTAAAGAATTATGTCCAGGCTGCTTTGAAGACAGTAGAGTTGATTTTTAGTAAAGTTTTAATTGTCACATTCAACTGTGCTACTTTCCCAAAAGGTTGCATGACTCCTTTTATATCTGTCAACCACTTTTATTTCTTGTGTGTGCGTTAAAGAAGTAATTAACTTTTTAAATGCAGTTAAGGAAAGAACCTATTAATACTTTGTTCTGACCAATTGTGACCTGACTTTTGGATGTGGATTTATACACATAAGAGATTAGTTGAAATTAAAGCTCAATGCAGTTTTGAATTTTTTTTGAGAAGACTATTGTCCTTTTTCTATTAAGACTAAAATATACTTATTTAACATATCTGTAAAGAACAGAAGAGAGTAAATAACTTCTCCAATAAAACAGCCTTTATAAATAAAAACAGAAAAAAGCCTTTTAACCCCCAAGTCTTCTCTGTGTCATGTTGGAATTAGGGATGACCCAGGATGAGTTTAACTCATGCCATCGAAAATTAAACTTTATTCAGTGGGATTACATTTCCAAATAATTGCTGTGATTTTAATTTTTCTGATACAGATGAAGAATTAGCACTGGATGGCAGTTTTGACCAAGATCTAAAAAACTATCACAAACTCCACTGGGAAACAGAATTCAAACCTGTGGCACAGCAGCTTCTAAACCGAATTCAGACTCACCATACCTTCCTGGAACCCCTGCCTATTCCTTCTTTCTAATGTGATGCAAATTAACACCAGAAACAGGAAATCAGGTTACCTTTGTCCTTAAGAAATGGTAACAAACAGGAACGTTTTCTTTCAGTATTAACAAATTCTGAAAGTTTTTCAGGTACTGCTGTTAGTGAGTAGTCAAAGTATTTTAAAAGAAGTAAGCATTTCTTTTTGTTAGGTATTATGGGAAAATGAATATACATATACTTTATGCTATGAGAAATGTAATATAAAAAATATATGTATGGCTTTTCTAAGTAAATGACTTTCTCTTCTATTCGCTATTCAATAATTTAGTTCTAGTCTTAAAATCCCAATTTAACAATTCTGGAACTTAAGTGCTTGTCAATCCAGTAGTTAAATGAACTACGCAATGAAGATTATTAAATTTTGTATATAGAAAGAATGATGGTCAACACTATTAGGAGTATGTTACTACATAAGCATCTGTACTAATTCTTATGTCATTAATAATTTCTGGTTAGGCATCAGTATTTTTGTGTTTCTCACAGTAAGAGAAGAAGTAAGCACAAAAAATAGGGAAGACCACTTTGGGCCATCTGCTCTTTATTAAATAAGTAAAATGGGTGAAAAAGGAAGTATTTTTATCTCTTCTCATTTGAAATGAAATCACTAGACCAGATAGTCCTTTCAACTGAAATTCTCTATGACAAGGGAGGTGACATAATGTACCAAAAAGAATGTAGGCTTAGGTGTGTGGCCTACATACACTGTTTGAATTCTAGCTCTCCCCCACTTGGGCCTTGGACAAGTAACTTGATTTCTTGAGCTTCAACTCTAAAATGGGAATAATACCTACTTCACTGTAGGATAGTTTAGGAAATAAATGGGCAAATTGTCCAGTGCAGTGTCTGGTTTATAGTAGGTATTCAATAAATTTTAACTTTATGATAGTAGTTTATTGTTTGTTATCCTTTGTCGGAGAAGTTTGGCCTCTGAATAAGTAATAAAAACCACATAAATTGAGATAACTGTTATGGGATACCAGCCAAATGAAGACTTGGAAATTAAAGTAGGTTTACTGCTCTGCTTGGAGAAAAGCTGATATTAATGCTTCATCTCTCACCCTACAAAATACCAAGACTAATGGGACAAGGGCAGGCATCAAAGACTGGACAGTCTCTCAAAGCCTATTAGGAAAAACCTACATTTCCAGAAACAAATAGATTTCCCAAGGGCTCTTCTAATCTGGGGCTCATCCTGATTAGGGCTCAGTAAAATTGCTGGGGACACTCACCTTATTATAGCCTGTGACTCATAAGTATATATGCTGGTAGATTCATTCTGATAGTCGACATCACTTAAAGTGTGAGGAACTAATCTCTCATAAACATTTAAGGGTCTAGCCCTGACCTGTGCGGCTCAGTTGCTTGGACATTGTCCCCCAAAGCGAGAGGTCACCAGTTCGATTTCCATTTTGGTCAGTCCAGTACCCGTACCGGGCATGTATGGAAGGCAATCTGTCGATCTAAAACAGGTCCCTCACTATCTATAACTAATAAAATAACCCATGGTGGAATACCATTATACCTGACCTCTAACCTACTAAATTCCTCCCCCTCAGGTATAAGCTGGCCCATTTGGAATCATCTACCTGCCTTTAAAAAAACTTGTGGTAAAAATCACAACATAAAATATACCATCTTAACTATTTTTAAATGTACAATTCAGTAGTGTTAAGTATATTCATTTGTATTGTTCTATAACAGATCTCTAGGACTCTTTTATCTTGTAAAATTGCAAATATATTAAACAACTTCCAAATATTTCCCCCTCCTTCCAACCCCTAGAAACTGAGTCTACTTTCTATTTCTATGAATTTGACTAGCTTAAATACCTTATATAAATGGACTCACACATAATTTGTCTTTTTTGTGACTGACTTATTTCACTTAGAATAACATCTTTAGAGTTCATCCATGTTGTAGCATGTGTTAGGGTTTCCTTCCTTTTTAAGGCTAAACACTATTTCCTTGTATATAAACACCACATTTTGCTTATCCATTTATCCATCAAAGGACATTCAGGTTGCCTCTACCTCATGGCTATTGTGAATAATGCTGCTATGAACATGGGTATGAAAATATCTCTTTGAGATGCTGCTTTCAATTCTTTCGCATATATACCTAGAAGAAGAATTACTGGGTCGTATAGTAATTCAATTTTTAATTTTTTGAGGAGCCCCTATACTGTTTTCCATTCGGGCTGTACCATTTCACATTACCATCAACAGTGCATAAAGGTTCCAGTTTCTTCACATCTTCGCCAACTCTTGTTGTTTTGTTTTTTGAGAGTAGTCATACTAAGGTGTGTTAAGTGATATCTCATTGTGGTTTTGATTTGCAGTTCTCTATTATTTAGGGTTGGCCAAAAAGTTTGTTCATTTTTTTTGTAAGCTGGCTCTAGTAGTGCTTAAATATCTTAACTTCATTTGAAACAATTTTTTAAGATTATATTGTGGCAGCTGTCATATCAGCGTGTATTTAAAAAACTTACCAAAATTGGTGAATATTGTGTAACCATTTTAATATTGAAGATGGAAGAATATAAGCAACATTTTCAGTATATTATGTTTTATTATATCAAGAAAGGTAAAAATGCTACGGAAATACACACAAAAAAATTGTGCTGTGTGTGGAGAAGGTGCCATGACTGATTGAACATATTAAAAATGGTTTGCAAGGTTTCGTGCTGGAGATTCTTATTGGACAATGCTCTATAGTTGGGTCGACTGGTAGAAGGTGATAGTGATCAAATCGAGACATTAAATTAATCAATGTTATACCATGTGGGAGATAGCCAACATACTCAAAATATTCAAATCAAGCACTGAAAATCATTTACACCAGTTTGGTTTTGTTAATCGCTTTGATGTTTGGGTTCCACATGAATTAAGTAATAAAAAACCTTCTTGACTGTGTTTCTGCATGTGATTCTCTACTTAAACAAAAGGAAAATGTTCCGTTTTTAAAACAAATTGTGGTGGGCAATGAAAAGTGGATGCTTACATGGGTGTCCAACCTTTTGGCATCTCTGGGCCACGCTGAAAGAAGAGTTGTCTTGGTCCACACATTAAATACATTGTGACACACAATCACAAAAACATCTCATAATGTTTTAAGTAAATTTATGATTCTCTCTTGCAACTCATTCATAGCCATCTTGGGCCACATGCAGCCTGCAGGCTGTGAGTTGGACACCTCAGCATGTGAAACACAAGAGATCATGGGGCACGTGAAATGAATCACCACCAACCACATCAAAGTCCAGTTTTCATCGAAAGAAGATGATGTGTATATGGTGAGATGGAAGGGAGTCTGCTATTATGAGCTCCTTCTGGAAAACCAAACAATTAATTCCAATAAGTACTGCTCTCAATTAGACCAACTGAAAGCAGCACTCGACAAAAAGAGTCTGGAATTAGTCAACAGAAAACATATAATCTTCCATCAGGATAATGCAAGACTGTCTATGATGACCCTGCAAAAACTTTTACAGCTTGGCTGGGAAGTTATCCATATTCACCAGGCAATGTACCTTCAGGTTTCCATTTATTTAGGTCTTTACAATTCTCTTAATGGAAAAAATTTCAATTCCCTGGAATACTGCAAAAGGCACCTGGAAGGGTTATTTGCTCAAAAAGCTAGAAAGTTTTGGGAAAATGGAATTGTGAAGTTGCCTGAAAGATGGCAGAAGGTAATGGGACAGAATGGTGAATATGTTGTTCAATAAAGTTATTGGTGAAAATGAAAAAGGTGTCTTTTAGTTCCACTTTAAAACTGAATGAACTTTTTGGCCGGCTCAGTTCCATTTGTCTGTTTTTTTCTTTTGCCTTTACTTTTGGTGTTATTTCCAAGAAATCATTGCCAAATCCAATGTCCTAAAGATTTCCCCTATGTTTTCTACTAGAAATTTTATAGTTTTGGTTCTTATATTCATTTTCTTTAATATATTTTAGTTAATTTTTGTATATGGTATAAGGTAAGGGCCTAACTTCATCCTTTGCATGTGAATATCCAGTTTTCCTAGCACCATTTTTTTTTTAAGAGACTGCCTTCTTTTCCTCATTGAGTGATGCTGAAACCCTTGTAAAAGATCATTGGATCATACAGTGAGGATTTATTTCTGTGCTATCTGTTCTATTGCATTGCTTTATATATCTGTCTTTATGCTGATACCACATTGTTTTAATTACTGTAGCTTTATAGTATGTTTTGAAATCAGGACATGTGAAACTCTCAACTTTGTTCTTTTTCAAGATTGTTTTGACTGTTTGAGGGCTTTTGAGACTTTATAAGGATTTTAGGATGGATATTTTTATTTCTGTAAAACAAGGTATTTTTTAAGAGATTGCATTGAATCTGTATTTTGCTTTAGCTAGTACTGACATCTTAATATAAAGTCTTCCAATCTATGAACACAGGCTGTCTTTTCATTTATTTGTACCTTTTTACATTTTTTAGGGCAACGTTTTCTTGTTTTCAGGGTACAACTCTTTTAATTTCTTGGTTAAGTTTATTCCTAAGTATTATTTTTAATTCTATCGTAAATGGAGTTGTTCTATTTCCTTATCCAATTGTTCATTTTTAGTTTATAGAAATGCAACTTATTTTTGCATACTAATTTTGTATCTTTAAATTTGGTTGGATGTATTCTAACAGGTTTTTGTGTGTGTATGTAGAATTTTAAAGCTTTTCTACATATAATATCATGTCATCTGGAAACGGAAAATTTTACTTTTCCTTTCCAATTTGGATGCCTTTTCTTTTTCTTGCTTAATTGCTCTGGCTAGGACTTTCAGTATATGGTAAGAGTAGGCATCCTTGTCTTGTTCCTGATCTTAGAGGAAAAGCTGTCAGTCTTTCATAGACTATGATGTTATTTGTGGGCTTTTTAGGTACAGCCTTTATTACATTGAGGTAGTTTCTGTCTACTAGTTTAAGTGTTTCTTTTTAATCATGAAATGGTGTTGAATTATGTCAAAC